GGAGAATTGAAAGAATGTAACTCCCACGGGTTGAGATAACAGCAGTTCAGTAACTAAGGTATAATACAAACCACTACTGCTACCACTAATAATAATGATAAGGGAAATAAAGGGAGAGGATACGATTGCTCACCACCCGCCAACCAATACCCAGCCCGACCCGAGCAGCGATCTGGGCCTTCCGGGTGACTCCCCCCAGTTTCTATACTGGGCATGATGTGCTGTGGTATGGAATACCCCTTTGGCCAGTTTGGGTCAGGTGTCCTGCCTCTGCTTCCTCCCGGCTTCCCCTGCTCCCTGGCAGAGCATGAGACTGAGAAAGTCCTTGCTCAGAGTAAACATTACTGAGCAGCAACAACTAAAAACATCGGTGTTATCAGTGTTGTTCCCAGGCTGAAAGTCAAAACCACAGCCCTGCACCAGCTACTAAGAAGGAGAAAAAATGACTGCTGTAGCTGAACCCAGGACACCCTCCCTCCTGGCCTCAGGAGCCACTGTGGTCTTTATGAGAAGCTGGCTGCGAGCATCTCCTTTTTTACCTAGACCCCAAGGTGCCAGAACACCTTTCTCCCACATTACCGAGCCTTTACATCTTCCTCTCGTGCTGAATGCCTCCCATTTCTGTCCTTGGTCTTCTCTCCCATTTGAAATGGCCCATTGACTGCTAGCCAGCTTAGTGAACTGATGCACAGCTACTTAAAATAAAAGTGGCAGCTTTGCTTTTTTTTTAATCTTTCTCTGCCATACATGAAGATCTCTAGTCTCCTTCCTTGGGCAATTCCCAATTTCATCTTGACTTCCCACCTTTGCTCTGGAATTTATGTGTCTTTAGGAGACTTCTTCTGATACTAGCTTTGGAGGACACTCCACAAGATGCACTGAATTATGCTGCAAGGCATTTAAATGCTCCAGGATGCCATGTTGCCATGGTAAAGTTTATGCATCAGGGCAATCTTGGTACAGTCTCCCTAATACAAAGTGTAATGTTAACAAGAATCTGTAAATGCAGAGACCAATGGGTTTTAGTGGAAATAGGTTAATAGGGCAGAAATATGACACAAAGGCCTAAACACAGCACTGAGGAATGACATGCTGCCTCTTAACACTTCCCAGTTGCTGCGTCCTAAGAATGGTTATGCATTTCATATTTGACCATAGTAATTTTTTGAAGGATGAATGAATAAATTAGGGACCCAAATACCCTCCCCAGGCTACACATCAGAGCCTTTTCTCTAGCTCGGCCTCTCCACAACAGAGACAGCAGATATGCATCTGATGCCCTCCGGGGTGCCTTTCTGCTAGCAGAGAATTGCCAGCTTTGCAAATTAGCCTCAAAAGGGAAAAAGGTGTCTCTAAACTTGTCCCTCAGAAGCCTTTCATAATTTCCTCTACAATGCTTCTCCAACCACCACTTCATTATTCCTCTGACCAGCGATCCCTGCTGAAGTACTTGCACTGCTGAACAATGCGCATTCCCCAGAGACTCTTTCTTTGCAAAAATCTCTAATCTTCTCATGTCTTCAATTTCCTCAGAGCAAGGCTAAAAAAAAAGTTGGGGGAAAAATCACCAATTGTGTCTTTCCCTCCCCCTGCACTCTCATGCTCCCCACCTCTGTCTAATTTCTCTTCCCTCCCTGGTTCTCCCATTATTTCTCCATCACCTTCCCTACCCAGGAAAAGGCAAGCCTGGGTTAAGCACAGCTTAATCTGCAGCTGCTAGTGCAGACAGCCTCACTAGCTAAGGCTTTCAACCATCTCTCCCAGTGCTTGCTCATCCTGCTCCCAGTTGCACTGGTCACAAGCTCCCAGCTGGCCACCCACAACCATCTGTGGGTGCAGGTGGGTGCTGTGAACTGAGCCAGCTTCTCATCAGGCTGTCCCAATGCTCCCACCAATAGCTTGCATGGCCTGTGGCCAGCACTGCCTGCTGGGCATGTCAACAGAGCAAACCTTGTTTTGCTCATTACTGGTTTTGAAGTGATACCACAATGCACAGATGCATGATGGAGAACACAGAGAAGATGGAGTACCTTTGCACCAGTTGAGATCCCCAGATAATCCTGTTTCTCAGAGAATGCAGAACAATACAAACATTTCCATCTCCAAGTTTGCACTTTGCAAACTATTTTAATGACACGGACAGAAACTATCATGGGGCTACACCTAACAGAGAAGACAAGTAGACTTCAAGAAGGTACCCCCTTTGTTCCCCCTCTCCCCTGTGTTCCCCTTGCATGGTGTCTCACAAGCAGTGCTCATGCTGTGTCACACAGAGTCTTCTCCTCCACACCAAGCAGGCAATAAGACAATCACTCACTTGGCTCAGGAGTTACCAGCTGCTGGACATTTCCCTGCTTGAGCCATCTCTTACCTAGTATAAGGTCTGGTCTGAACCACCAAAGCATTCCTAGATGGAAACTAAGGACTTTATTTCCATGCCTCTGTTTGAGAAGGGATCCCATGCTCTGGTTTCTGCTAAACAGACGCTTATCTATCCTCTACCTCCATCCCCATCCAGACAAGGACGTGGCATGTTTACAGAGAACCAGGCAATCCAGCTTCATTGCATGGACCAGACAAAGCTAAGGACTAAATGGGTCTTTCAAGAGCAAAGGAGGAGTTCTGCTTTCAAGTGCTGGGAAAGCAAAGACGGCCTTAAGAAAAACAGGGCAGGGAGCAGAAAACAAAAGTGAGGCTGCCTAGGAGGTAGCATCCACCAGAAAGGGACACCCTGTAGGAAGGCAGGGTCCACTTCTACCTCTCTGCTACCACTGCAAACCTGTGGAGCCAGACACGGTACAAAGTTGGGGATAGCAGGAGGGAGCAGGAGAGAGTACCCAGGGTAGGAATCAGAGACAGGGAAGAAATTAAATGATGGCAAAGGAAAGGCTGAGCAGGAAAAGGGGGCACAGACAGAAGAAAAGCAAAGCAGACAATGTTTTTTAATACTCAAAAAGACAGGGGAAAAGTGAGAACAAAACAACTTTAGGACAGCAATATGAGTATATTTCTGACAGACTCGTTGCTTTTACCTGGCAAGGAACAGGCTTGCTCTGGACATACAAGCCTAGCTTCTTGTTATGACACAGGTAGGAGAACTTTCCCATTCCTCTGTCCATATACAAGTACAAGGGCAGCAGCAGCTGCTACATACACCATGTCTGGCCAGGGGACCAGGAAGGCAGGGACCAATACAGTGCTGTGTTAAGGGCAATGGGATGGATCACAGTAGCCCATTCTGAGTGTTTCTCCAGGCTCATTGAGGAACGGGTGGTGGTATAGGCATCGTTTTGGAGAAACATGGCCATAACGAGGGGTTTTATAGATGAGGGCCATAATGTTTAATTGCCCTCAGCCAACACTCTCACAGC